AATAATCAATATTATTATAAAAGATAAATACTTGAATTTTTTCTAGTTTAACTCAAATTTTCATGAATATATTTAATTATTTTTCTGTAAATTATATTTAAATATTAATTAACTATATCAATATAATGAATCACATTATTTTGTAAGTCCAAAAAGTCAATTCGGCACACATGTAATCATCAAATGATTATATATTTAGTATATAAATTTACATAGAAATCATCAATTTAAAGCATCTAAGATTCAACTTTGACCATTACAGACATTAAACTCTTGTTATATATTGATATATATGGTCTTAATAAATCATTTATTATTATTTTGTAATATATTTTATTAATTTTTGTAGATCATATTCTTGCGACTGCAGCCACAAATGGTGCGGTCGTTTTATGGAACTTGAATAGGCAATCTCGATCAAAACAGGATCATGTATTTGTTGATCATAAAAGAACTGTGAATAAAGTAAGCTTTCACATGACAGAACCCATGTGGTTGATATCTGGCTCACAAGATGGTACCATGAAATGCTTTGATTTGCGAATAAAAGAAGCAATTAAGACTTTTTATAGGTAAAGTAAGCTGCGTGGACTTATGTTGTAGCATAGTGGTCCATAAAGCTATTAAATATAACGGCGAATCTTTTTTCTTGCATCTCAAGAGTCCTTTTTTTATTTAACCTTTAGACTACTTTTTTTAATTAATTATTTTAAATTAAAATAATGCTTTCTCAGCAAGAATCAAATATAAAAAAATGTTTATTTTCTCAAAAATAATGTATTTTCGGGATTTTTGATATCATTGATTCCAATTCTGAACATAGATTTATAAAATTTCGAGTCCTAAGTCCACAATATTGACAACATAAATGAATGTAAATATATAGACTCAAAACTGTTAAAATTATCCAAAATTGTATGTAAATGTAGAAAGATTGTAATTTCTTTTTGATTTTCTTTTTTATTTGGTTTTTAATTTTTAATTTTTTTTTATTTTTTTACTATTTTCTTGTTTTATATTTTTTTATTTTTAAATATATTTTTTATATGTTTTATTGCATGGGCTACATACACACATATATATTTAATACATTTAGTACTTAAAATCCACTAAAAATATTTTAACCCAAACTCAAGAGCCACAAAAGTAGTTTTCCCGGCAGTCTAAAGATTAAATAAAAAAACTTCATTTAATTTAATGATTGTTATATAATATTCACGTTTTTAGTAATACAGAGTCTGTGAGAGACGTCCAATTTTGTCCACAACAACCTCATACTTTTGCTGCTGTATCAGAGAATGGTCATGTACAACAGTGGGATATGAGAAAACCAGAACGTTACTTTCAACATTTTACTGCACATAGTGGTCCAATATTTGCTTGTGACTGGCATCCAGAAGCTACTTGGCTTGCTACAGCATCCAGAGATAAAACTATCAAAGTACTTTATTTTCTACATTAATGTAAACTTTTTTGTGGAAGGTATATTTCTCACTTTATATCGTTGTAATTTTACAGGTTTGGGATTTATTGGGTAAACCAAGTTGTGATTATACTATACATACTATAGCCTCAGTGGGACGTATAAAATGGAGACCTCAAAAAAAGTATCACATAGCCAGCTGTGCTCTAGTCGTTGATTGTAGCATAAATGTATGGGATATTCGCAGACCGTACATTCCATTCGCAAGTTTCAATGAGCATAAGGATGTTCCTACAGGTGTTGCATGGAGAGGCAACCCGCAATCGTTTCTATCAACAAGCAGAGTAATACTGCCAACCATTATTCACTTTTCTATTACAATATGCAGCACAATTCACCTTATGTTCCATTTTACAGGATTGTACATTATACCATCATGTTTTTGATGATGCAGTAAGACCAGCCAGTAAAGCAAATCCACAGAGTGTTGCAATAAATTTAAAACATGACGTTACATGCGCTTCCAAGGTGAAATATGAACCAGCAAGTATTGCAAGGCAGCTGAGTAATTTAATGAGGTGAACATTTTTTTATATTATATTATATAAAAATATTGTGACTATAAAAAAAATTCAAGATAAATAAAATAGAATGAAAATTTAGTTGCCATTGCAAGCTGTCAATTTTAATAGTTTTCTTTCAATTAAAAAAATTTTTTATAATAGAGTTGAAAGATTTCTATTGTTTTAATTTTTGAAAATTTGATTGTGATTTATTATATATTTTTGTTCTTTTGCAGGAGAACACCTGTAACAAATGATGATAATTTTTGTATGGCTTCAAGTGTAATGAATAGATTCCGTGGATGTGTGCGCGAACCGAATTGGTTTAAGATAGCCGCAGAAAATTATTTGCTTTCTGGAAATTTAAGTGAAGCCTGCGATCACAATGCACGTGTTGCGTATGATTTTGGCAATTATGTTGTAAGAAAAAAATGTTTTTTTGTATATATAATATTATAATAGCATCAATATATTTAATAATAATAGTCTTATTTATATAGGTCAGCAAAGCGTGGCAAGTCTTAAAAGTCATGTATACAGATCCGTTTGAGATACTCCAAAAGAGTGCACCGACGGTGCCTAAAGAAGATGTAATTAATACATCAAATATAATACCTGGAGTAACAAAAAGTTCTGGTATGGAACAATCAAATGCGAGTAAACAATCAAGTAAGCAGGAATATCATAAACAACATATTAATAATATATATATTATCATATTACATTTAATTGTATAAATTGATTTTTCTTAGGTCATGAACAAGACGCAAGATCTCTCCAAGGGGAAAATCCTGCTGGCGCTGCCAGTGGCGGTGACGATGAGACTGAAACAGAAACTGAAGCACCGGAGAATCAAAATATCATGGGACCATCGACTAATACGGCAACTGTTCTGCCAAGGTGCTGTTATATATTCATCGTTGCATAAATTCTAGAATTATATTGCGTGCGTATATGTTGAAATTAATTGATTTCTATCGATGTAATCAGAATATTTAATGTTTCTAATTATAGGAGACCATTACTTAGTGATATACCTTCTACATCACGAGGTGATTTTATCTTTGGCGAAACCGAATATGAACCTGTGTCTTTGGAACATCACGGCGAAAATAGACAAACTGTGATGCGCATGGAGGATGATGATTGGACCAAGGAATTGCAGAAGGAGGCTTTTCCTTTGCGACATGAGATCAAGGATCGGTCTCCGCCACCAGAACAATTTCCTAATCATCCTCCTAATCTCAGCGAGAATTCAACTTCTGTTATAGTCGAAGATCAACCTAAGTTAGTAGTTCCGGTTCTACCAAAACCTCTGCCTTTTGATTTTATGCCTCTAGTTCTGGAGGGACTGCACTTTCACACAGCAATAAGAGATGTACAGACGACAGTATCGATGCTCATTGTCTTAGGAGAAATAAGGAAAAAATTGAATATTCCTGTAGCTTTACAGGAACATTGGATATTAGAATACTTGGACATGCTCGGCAAATTTAAGCTCTGGCATGTAGCTACACAGGTTTGTTCAGAATGTATTATATTATTTAATTGACAATTTCTTTCTTGATAGTTTTTATTCATAAATAATAAAAATACTTTAATGTAAATAATTTATAGATAATACAATTGGCATGGATACCATCTATATCGCAATTAAATCAACAGTCAACTATGATACACGCGTGTTGTGTAGCATGCACAAAATCATTGCAACGCTCTGCATGGTTGTGTGATCATTGTCATACGCCCGAGCACGCTTTGTGTTCTATTTGTAATCAAGTAAGAGAAATTTAGCTCTTGTCATTTAAATTTATAAAATAATTTGTATTTATATTCAAAATGAAATAAACTCAAAAACAGAAAATTACAATATTCAAGACTGTTTTTAAATTGATTTATATTTTTTTATCACTTCGATTTCTATTTTTTAGAATCTTATATATTTTTTAGTTTAATATTTTTTGGAATTGTTTATGTGTACAAATCTTTCCTCCAAAATTTGATTGATTTATTATACAGATAATAGAAAATTGTTTTTAAAGCCTACTTCACAAATTTAATTACAATTTAGTACAATTATATTATAATCAATGGAAATTAATTGCATTCAATTGTAATAAAATAATTTCAGTACAAATGATAAAATTGTTAATATTTTTTATTAATATATATATGTGTAAATATTTTTATTAATATTTTCTGGTTGTACGTAATATTTATATATGATGTATGTTGCAGGTTGTACGTGGTATCTACGTATGGTGTCAAGGTTGTGCACATGGAGGCCATATAAATCATATGAGAGAATGGTTTAATAATAATCGACAATGTCCTACTGGTTGTGGACATCTTTGCGAATACAACTAAGGAAATATGTCGACTTTATAAATCCTGTCGATAAATGTATGTGTTAGAAATGAATAATTTTAAAATACTAAAATAAAACACTACAAAATGTGAATATTGTGATATCA